AAAAGGAAGGAAGAGAAAAGGGGGCAAGGAAGGAAAGAGGTAGAGAAGGAAGGAAGAAAGGAAGGAAGGAAGAAGGGGGAAGGAAGGAAAGAGGGAGCAAAGGAAGGAGGGAAAGAAGGAGAGAAAGATGGAGGGGAGGTTGGCTGCAGCAACGCGTGGCGAGTACAGTTTGTGTGTATATATATTATAGATTTTTTTTACAATGGGGACCACATTTGATGGATGATAATGATGATGATACCAAATACTGCTTATGTAAACATTTGTTTTCCTCTTCTCATTGTATATTTTGATCTTTCTGTATCTATCTGAGACAGGTATATGGACACTGGGATGCTTGAATCCTGACTTCAGAAAACGAGGAATGAGTGCCAAGTTAATTGTTTTCAAATGCTCACAAGAAGTGGAGTCCGAGGAGGAAGATTATGGATATGATGAAACCATTCCAGAGGACTACATGATTCAAGCCAACATCCTACAACCAAGAGGTTTCCGAAAGAAGAAAGTCCCTTTCCAGCCTTACATAAAGACTGATGATAGTAATGCCAACTCCACTTCAAATAATGAAATATTGAATCAGAATCAACATTCAGCTGTATATCTTGGACAACCCAACCAGGTTACCAAGTTAAACAGGAAAACCAACTTGACAGACCCATTATTTCTACGTCAAGAAACTTTATATCTAGATGACATATCTTCATCTTCACCACAAGATCCATCCTTTGACATCTTACCCAATGATGTTTTTTCAGCTGCAGAAGAATCAACCACACTGTCAACCTCATCAATGCAAAGTTTCCAAGAACATTTCAGAAACTCATCTCTTGTTCATGAAGAGCCACATAATGGGAGATCACTGGAGACCACAACTCAACTAGTTCATGAAAAGCTTGGCTTAGAAATGCCCAAAGAAACAGAAAGAACCGGGATGCCCCAAGAATATTTGATACACTGGGAGAAAGCAGAGGAGGAAAAGTCATCTTCATCCCACCCACTGGAAAAAGTGGAGATGTTTCATGACAGTCCTATTACCACAAATCAATCCAAAGTGTCATTTGGTAATGAAATCTTTGTTGAAAATCAGACTCTGAAGGCAATAATTGGTGACAGCCTTTCAAAACTAAATAAAAGAGGTCCAGATTCCATCAAACTTGAAAGAACATCAGAGGGAGATGCATTGATGGCAAATACAGTGTTAAATGGGGAAGGGGTGTCGCAAGAGGCATCTGTGAATGACAGCGATTCCGTCAACATCACTAGTGCATCAGCATCATTAAATGACTTGGAAAGAGAGCCGGTTATTCAAGATATAGCACTGGAAATTCAAAACACTGGTTTGCCAAGAGCAACAACAAGCCCTGCAGTTAAAGATGTATTATTGCAGATGTATGACGCCGTCTCTGGAGATCCAAACAATTATTCATCCTATAAAGCAAGTGGCCAAGAGACCAAACCACTAGAAATCAGAAAATCATTACAGTCAGTATCAAATGCCTCCAAAATTATGGAAAACGAGAGCACCTCAACATCCTTAAGTGGAGATCTAAAGGGAATAGATGGCATACATTTTCAGGTCAGGAAAGAGACGATGACGCAACTTAGAATGGATAGAACGACTGAAAGCTCAGATATTTTGAATGAACACAACTCCTCCTTTGCACAGAATGGCAAGACAATGGATTTAGATAGATTGGCTAGCCCCCTAAGCAATGCTATATATAATAATGACAATCTGGATAATAATGCTAGAACACATTCCTTTTACTATTATGAAGGAACAGGTAATTTAACACACCAAGTAATTTCCCAAGACGCTAACCAGGACAATAATCAATCTGGAAGAGAAAACGAAGCTTTCCACACATTGGATGCCATCTTCAATAGGAGTCAACTCAAGAGTATCCTCCATTCCTTAGGACCCCTAGATACACTTAGAGAGAGAAATGTTAAACAACCGAGGCCAGCAGATGTCAAATTTAATATTTCTGATGGGAACAAAGAAAAAGAAGATGTTTTTCATCAAGGCCATACATTTTCATCACAATCAGTTGACTTGGGACATGGTCCAGTTTCTGAAGAGCCTGAGAGAAAAGGAGAGAGCCAGATACTATCAAAATTAGACTTCCAGAGTCCTGAAAAGTTGACAGATGAAACAAAGATGGCATCCTGCCAACCGGGTTCCCATGCATGTGGTGGCCACTTGGAAAAACGGTCATTGGAAGTACTTTCCGCCACATTGAAAGAAACAAGTACAGCAATGACAAATGAAACCAAAAGTTTGAGTGAAGCTGAAGGACAAGCTGATGCTTTGCTCAGTGTTAATATGAGGAAGGGAAAGAGTGAAACCATGACTTCTACCACAAGGGCAAATATGACAGTTGAGGTGGAAGAAAGGAATCAAAAAGCTTCCCCTGGTAGGACAACGGTTGCATCTTCTCCATCAAACTCAGTCAGATATGTCTCAGCCTCACATTCCTTGAACATCTCTGTAACCGAGACAATCACTCAAGATGGAAACAAAGAGGCTTCAAAAGATGGCCGCTTCATTCAAAAGCTAGAGGATGCCAAGAACAGTAATGCTATTCCTAAGTCTGGGAGAACTATAGACTATTATATAAAAAACAAATCAGAACTGAGCCCCACTGTCTTTGCAGGAGGAAAACACACAGATGTCACTTCGACCCTGCAGAAGACCACTGGGCAGATCAATGAGGTTGGACATACTGAAACAAAGGATTCCCCAACTATGGAGCATGTTGATATAGAAAAACCTTTGCAATCACATCTGAGAGATTCTGGTGTGGGTCATGAGCAAACATTAGGGAATGAGTCTTTGCTGGGTGCCACAAAAAGGGAGGAGCTTGGGATTTCAGCCAAAAGGGCTTCAGTAGACAATGATGTGCTTCCTCGAGGTGACTTGACCATCAACCAGAACCTCCAAGATGAACCAGTGGATGAAATCAAAGAATTTGGTGGTGAAGGAGGCAAAGTTCCTCCCCTCAGGAGTAAACTATTAGTTTCTGAAGGGAAGACAGAGGCTGACATTCAGACACCCAGGAAAGGCGAAAGCATAGAAATGATCAATTCCATATCACCTTCTAGCTTCAGTAGACCAGTCAAGACAAACTTCTCTAAGAATCTGAAAGGATCATCTGACTATGATGACTACAGTAACACAGAAGAGACCTTGGATGAATTTGATATTTATGGAGAAGATGAGCACGATCCACGGACTTTGACAGGGAAAGTCCGTCAATATTACATCGCAGCAGTTGAAGTGATGTGGGATTATGGAAGCCATATTCCTTCACCATATCTCCAAGACCAGTAAGTTCTATCCATCCTCTTTGGCCAGGGGCAAAAGTCAGGAGACTGGGACTTAATTAGCTCTTAATATGGTATAATACAAGGATGTGAAATCTGGTGGAAATTCTGGGAACAGTTTCAAAAACATTGTGTTGTAGTTCTTACTGGATAAATCAGATGTCCCTGAAATCTTAATATCTAAATCTCTAATGCAGTGTTTATCAACCTGGGGATTGGGACCCATGGGGGAGCTGCGAGGGGGTATCAGAGGGGTTGTTAGAGACCATCAGAAAACACAGTATTTTCTGTTGGACATGGGGGTTCTGTGTGGGAAGTTTGGCCCAATTTTATCGGTGATAGTGCTCAGAATGCTCTTTGAATGCAGGTGAACTATAAATCCCAGCAACCACAACTCCCAAATATCAAGGTCTATTTTCCCCAAACTCCACCAGTGTTCACATTTGAATATCCACGCCAAGTTTGGTCCAGATCCATCATTGTGTGAGTCCACAGTGCTCCCTGGATGTAGGTGAACTATACCTCCAAAACTCAAGGTCAATGCCCACCAAACAATTCCAGTATTTTCTGTTGGCCATGGGGATTCTGTTTGCCATGTTTGGTTCAATTTCATCATTGGTGGAGTTCAGAATGCTCTTTGATTGTAGGTGAACTATAAATCCCAGCAACTATTACTCCCAAATGACAAAATCAACCCCTCCAACACCCTCACCAGTATTCAAATTTTGGTGTATTGGGCATTTGTGCCATATTTGATCCAGTGAATAAAAATACATCTTGCATTTACATTACAATTCATAACAGTAGCAAAATACAATCTGGTAATGGAACATAGGAATGGAACAATGGACGACGAACCTGGACTACGCTTGGATGATGAGAAGATTGGGTACGGTTGTTTTTTGTAATAATTGTGCATTGTAATTGCTTATTGGTAATTTATGGATAATGTGTTAAGTCAATTGTTATATGTTGTATGGAACCACTGCTGCTGTTTCTACTGTTTTTACTGTTTGTGAACCGCTGTGAGTCGCCTTCGGGCTTGAGATACAGCGGTATATAAGCAAAGTAAATAAATAAATAATAAATAAATTATAGTTATGAAGTAGCAAGGAAAATAATTTTATGGTTTGGGGTCAGCGCAACATGAGGATCTGTATTAAGGGTTCATGGCATTAGGAAGGTTGAGAAACATTGCTTTAATGGAAGGGGAAGATATTTAGCATCTGTATAGGATTTTAGAGTAATCCTATACAGATGCTAAATACTGTCATTTTTCTAAGCAGCCCAGAATGACCTAATGTGCCCCCATTCCATGTTGTAAGGTTGAACAGGATGTGAGATGGAGTTTTGCCTCAAGTCTCATCAAGAGGTTCCTACAGACCTTTTTTGAACTACAACTCCCAGAATCTCATAGTCTACTTGGGGTGTGGGATTCCAGGTGGTGTTGACCAAAAATGTAACATTTCCAAGTGCTGATATGACTACATGAACTCAAAACTTTCCAGCTTAAGCCAACATTACACAAAGGACTATAATGACTCCAAGAGTGTTTACATCAGTAGCAGCATAAAACAGGCCAACATCTTGGAGAAAGAAACATATAGTTTTATGTATTTATATGAAAGTGCATATACAAAATAATAATTTTAAAAGTTTTGGTAGAAATTATGAATATTACAAGTAGAACTAATTAAAATAGTTGACTACAAATGGCTTGCTTTGTTCATTTCATGTATAGACATCAAGCAGATTGGCACATGATTTCAATGGACTGTGAAATCCACTATACGAGGGTTGAATGAAAAGTAATGCCTCCACCTTCGTTACTTGTATTTGGATGGGAATATTTTAATAAATCAAATGCAGAAATAATCCTTAGAATGTGTTCTTTAACTACCACTATTCACTTTTCCACATAATCACCAGACAATTGGATACATTTCTGCCAACAATGGACAAGTTTTCTGAAGCCGTCACTGAAGAAGTCGACACTCTGTTTCCACAACCAATGTCTCACAATTCTCTCAACGTCTACATCAGAAGCATAATGATGTCCCCACAGATCTTCTTTCATTATCGGGAACAGATGGATGTCAGATGGTGCTAAATCTGGACTGTATGATGTATGGTGGTGAGATCCAGTCTCTGAAGTTTCTAGTCTGTGCACTTTCATATCAGGCATCAACATCCTGGGTACCCATTGTGCACAGATCGTCTGATAGCCAAGCAAAGCAATAATGTGACCCACACATTCTTGTGAAATGCTGATTATGCTTGAAATTTCTAAGTGATACGATGATCGTCTTGAATCAATCTGTCAACCTTTTGCTTGTGAAACTTTGTGGTTGCTGTCACAGGGCGTCCAACTCTTTGTTTGTCACGCAAGTCAGATGCTCCCACCTCAACATCTTTAAACTTTCTCACCCAACGATGCGCAGTACTCAAATCAACACAATCACTATAAACAGCTTGCATTCTCTGATGAATCTCCTTTGGGGTGACACCTTCTGCTGTCAAGAATTCAATGACTGCATGTTGCTTAAGTCGCATTGACTGACCATCTGCGCTGGGTTCCATACTTCACACTTTAACAACACAACCATTCAATGCTAAGGTTTCCTGCCAAAATGGAACTGTAGAGGAGAGTCTACTGAACAAGCCAGTACCTGCTGCATACCAGTACTGCCATCTGTTGAGGAGTTATGAAGGTGGAGGCATTACTTTTCATTCAACTATCGTACTTCAGGAATTCTGGTTAGCTTAAGTGCGTAGGGCAAGTAATGTGGCATGCACAGCTCTGCCTGTTGCATTTCCATAAATGGTTACAATACGGACAGGGCTGGCCGGCCTATCATCCTCTTGTTTTCATTTCACAGGGATCTGAAGAACAAGCCATTCGTAAAGTATAAGAAAGTTGTCTACAGAGGGTACCTTGATCGGACCTTTACTCAGCCATTCGCCTGTGGAGAGCTGGATGAGCATTTGGGCATCTTGGGGCCATACATCCGGGGACAGGTTGGAGATGTCATCATGGTGAGACATATTTACCATGAGGAAGTCAGAGCTGGAGGGTGAAATTTCAATATAATGTAGTTTGATGCAATTAAAATGCATTATGTCTATATGATGCAGTTTCAAACACAAACCTGCATTTTTCTGCACAGAAATGTAAAAAAAATTTTCTGCACATTTTTTTTCTCTACCAGTTTTTTCAAGGCTATATAATAGGTTTGGGCGATCAAGAAAAAAATTGGTTCTAAACTCGTTTTGTTTCTAGGGTGTGCTAGCGTTTCGAAATTCTGAGGACTTCCGAAATTTAAGATTTCAAAATTTCGAAATTTCTGAAATTTCGTAAATTACGAATCGATTCGTTAATGGCGGACGCGATTGCGCAATATGCTAAAAAAACCTCCAAATGGGACCGGGGGAACTTCTGAAGCTTCCCTCTCCCTCTGTTGTTGACTGTTGGTGTGATAAAACAAACAACAACTATATCATATTATATTATATTATTATTATATTATTATATTGTTGTATATTATATTATTATAATATTATTATATTATATATTATATTAATAATATAATATATATAATATAATATAATAATTTATTATATTATATTATATATATTATATTATATATTATTATATTATATTATAATATATTATATTATAATATATTATATATATTATATTATAATATACAATTATAATATAATATAATAATAATATAGTAATATAATATATAATATAATAATATAATATACAATACAATGCACCAGTCATACGAAAATAATTACGAAAGAATTATGAAATAATTACGAAAATTGGAAAAAATTGTTTCGATTCTTAATTACTCCTCACACTATTCCTGCATGGCTCGATATTGGATCGTAAGCTAATTTAAATACGAATCAATAACGAATAACGAAATTAACGAACTGGATCGTCCAAGCCTACTATATAACTTTCCCAAACTGGAGATTTCTGTTCTTTCAGTATCTTTTTAGGGTTTATGTATTCTTTGCCTCCTTAGTATTGCAGATTTTGGAAACACTACCACCTGCTCTGTCATGTGTATGAAAACGCAGAAGGTAGGAGATAAGAAGGATAAGCACTGATTACTGTAATGCATTCTATGTGGGGCTGCCTTTGAAGACGGCCTGGAAACTGCAGTTGGTCCAAAGATCTGTGGCCAGGTTGCTAATGGGAGCTAGTTACAGGGAGCGGTCAACCCTCCTGTTTAAGCAGCTCCATTGGCTTCCAATAAGTTTCTGGACCCAATTCAAGGTGCGGGTTATCACCTACAAAGCCCTAAATGGTTCAGGATCTGCCTACCTTTGCAATTGCATCATCCCCTATGAACCAGTATGTACCCTAATATCATCAGGAGAGGCTTTTCTCTTGCTTCCTCCGCCATCTCAAGCATGTTTGGTAGGGACGGGGGAGAGGGCCTTCTCAGTGGTGACCCCCTACCTCTGGAACTCCCTCCCTAAGGAAATCAGACAAGTACCCATCTTGTCCACCTTCTATAAGGATGTGGGTGTTCCATTGTGGATGTTCCATTGTGACTTTGATTAGACAGTTCACCAGAAAACTGGCTCGACTCTATCTAAACTCCTGCACTTTAGTTTGGGCTACCCCACTAATCTCGACACTTTATGGCCAAAATTATTCCCTCGAGACTGGCACATTTGAATTTTTGCACTTTCCCCTGGCTTGTTGGAGCTCAGCCTGTGATTGTGTTTCAGGATCAGGGTGCTTTGGATGTGGGGAGTGAAGTCAATGAGTTTCAAAATGAGTTTCAAGATGGCAATGGTTTGGCCAGTGATCTTGATGCAGAGAATGACTAGGAGATCCCTGTTCAAAGTGTAGTTTCCCATGAGAATGTCCCTGAGGAGTGTGGGGACGATGGTCCGCTTTCTGAATTGTTACCAGAGAGTTCCCATGATAGAGAACATGAAAACAGCTCAGCACCTAGCCCAGCTTCACAAATTAATGAGCAAATAGATAGACGAGAGAAGTTCAGTCAAAACAGGAGAGCCGAACAGTGGCTTCAGCGATCTGCCAGGCTCCGAGAGAAAAAGATAAGACATTCTCAGCTAAAGCGAAACCAATTTCTGAGTGCTAGAGACATAGTTAACGAGGAGATAAAAGTCCCAAATACAGGATATGTAGTCAGATGAAGCATCATTTGGAATCAAGTCAAGTTTTGCTTGGAAAATTCATGTTTTAAGTGCCTTTGTTTCATGGTTTCGCTTCTTTTATGTCATGAAGACAGATGTGCCTTGAAGCTTCCTTGTCTTTCTTGGTCTTTGTTGTCATCATGGCTAAATGGGAGATTATTTCTTCTCTCGCCCAGGTGACGTTCAAAAACATGGCTTCTCGCCCATTCTCCTTCCATTCCAACTTGCTGCCCTACGAGGGAACTATGGAGGAGAGACGGCAGCCTTGGAGGGAGGAAGTGCAGCCAGGCGAGATCAGGGAGTATTCCTTCACAGTCTTGCAGCAAATGGCTCCTACGACCCATGAGTTTGACTGCAAAGCGTGGGCATACTTCTCCAGCGTGGATCTGGTATGTAGAAGAGGCATGCTTTCCTATTCTGCTGTCTATGGGTTTCTTCAAATGGGGAAAACATGTCAAGAGGATTGCAGTATTTGTTGTTGTAGTTCTTCAGTTTTGTTTTGAAATTATTCAAATGACATTTCTGCTGTTCTGGACTATTTTCTGGCAAATGCCTCCGAGCAATAAACGCCAGGTTACCTCTATGCAGATACCCTCACTGATTGACTTTGCAAACTTCTTGGCTACTCAAATGTTAATTTAAGCTTGCTCACTGCAACATCCATACTTGCTTTAAAGCAGTGGTTCTCAACCTGTGGGTCCCCAGATGTTTTGGCCTTCAACTCCCAGAAATCCTAACAGCTGGTAAACTGGCTGGGATTTCTGGGAGTTGTAGGCCAAAGTACCTGGGACCACACAGGTTGAGAACCACTGCTTTGAACAGACAAGGGTTCTTTCTCTCACCTTGGACATTCCACAGGAATATATATACACTCCCCTTGCTTCACTGCATGGAGCTCCCAGTGGCGCAGTGGGTTAAAGTGCTGAGCTGCTGAACTTGCTGACCAAAAGGTCATAGGTTCAATTCTGGGGAGTGGGATGAGCTCCCACTGTTAGCCCCAGCTTATGCCAACCTAGCAGTTTGAAAACATGCAAATGTGAGTAGATCAATAGGTACTACTTCTGCTGGAAGATAACGGCATGTCATGCAGTCATGCCGGCCACATGACCTTGGAGGTGTCTATGAACAATGCCAGCTCTTCAGCTTAGAAATGGAGATGAGCACCAACCCCCAGAGTTGGATACAACTGGACTTAATGTCAGGGGGAAATTTTTATTTTTATCTTTGCTTCATTACTAACAGAACCTTTGAAGATGCCATCCACAGATGCAGGTGAAATGTTAGGAATGAGAATGATGGTGGAACATAGCCATATAGCCCGAAAAACTCACAGCAACCCAGCAATTCCGGCCATGAAAGGCTTCGACAAAGCAACTCCTAGCACTACCTGCAACTTTTTATTCCCACTGTTGACTGAAGATTATTTTTAATCCCAAACTGTATGAGGGGATAGGAGGATCTCTTTCTTTTTTTCTGAAGGAGAAATTAAATAGAAACCTCTGTTCTTTTCAGAAAGAGAAAATAAAAGAGACATATCATAATGTCTGGGAAATTGAATGAGAAAAAATATTGCAGTTTTGCCCAACAGTGGCTGCATTCACACATCCAATATTAAAGAAGGCACTTAGGGTATTTTTGGTCTACAATTCTCAAAATGGCAAAGGATTGTAGGAACTGTGGTCCAAAACATTCAGAGAGCAAAAGCTTTTTAGCACTGTACTATCGTTTTGTGTGCTTGGAAGAGATTCATGTTAGCCCCAGATCCTTCTAGACTGACCAGTAATGTGGGGCTGATCCAGTGTCATGCCTGTCCCCAGCTGTGACACCCACATGACATGGGTACCTTGCCTCGAGCTGCAGGAAAAGGCAGGCAATAAATACCACCATCATCTTCATTAGCCCAAAACAGCAGTACGGGACAATAAAGGACTGCCATCCTATGTCCCAGGGAGAATCATAGAATCGTAGACTTGGAAGAGATCTTGTCATCCAGTCCAACCCCATTCTGCCAAGAAGCAGGAAAATTGCATTCAAAGCACCCCCGACAGATGGCCATCCGGCCTCTGTTCCAAAGCCTCCAAAGAAGCAGCCTCCACCACACTCCAGGGTAGAGTGTTCCACTGCTGAACGGTTCTCACAGTCAGGAAGTTCTTCCTCATGTTCAGATGGAATCTCCTTTCTTGTAGTTTGAAGCCATTGTTTCACGTCCTAGTCTCCAGGGCAATAGAAAACATCCAAATCTGTCATTGTATAAATCCACAGTGCTCTCTGGATGTCAGTGAACTACAACTCTAGAACTCAAGGTCAATGTCCACCAAACCCTTCCAATATTTTCTATTGGTCATGGGAGTTCTGTGTGGGAAGTTTGGTCCAATTCTATCGTTGGTGGGGTTCAGAATGCTCTTTGATTGTAGGTGAACTATAAATCCCATCAACTACAACTCCCAAATGACAAAATTAATCCTCTCCCAACCCCAGCAGTATTCAAATTTGGATGTATCAGGTATTTGTGCCTAATTTCATCCAGTGAATGACAATACCTCTTGCATATCAGATGTTTACATGACAATTCATAACAGTATCAAAATGACAGTCATGAAGTAGCAACGAAAATAATTTTATGATTGGAGGTCACCTCAAGATGAGGAACTGTATTGAGGGGCCGCGGCATCAGGAGGGTTGAGAAGCACTGCTCTATATTGTCAATAACCCAAATCCTGGCTCAGGGTTCAAGCCTTGTCCAGAGTCAAGCTGGATCTGCTCCATGTGTTGTTTAGTCACTGTGGGGCAGATCCACATACGCAACAACAACCTAAGTGGTCAATGTAGATGTTTTTTCCTGTGTCCCAAATCCTGGTTGAAATCAACATTGGGTAGTTCCTGAACGCATGCTTTGAAAGCAACTTGTTAAGAAACATCATCAAGGTGCATATTATGATTTCTGCCACACTAGTAATGAAACCTTCGTGGTTCAACCCAAAGGACATACTTCCTCCCAACTGAGTTTTTCTCCCCCACTTGCATCCCAGGAGAAAGACCTACACTCCGGTCTTATTGGGCCTCTGGTTATCTGCCACCCTGGTGTGCTGAGCTCCACTCACCTTCGGCAGTTGTCCATCCAGGAATTCACTTTGCTGTTCATGGTCTTTGATGAGACAAAAAGCTGGTATTATGTTGAGAACCTCGAAAGAATCTGTCTGCCCTTCTGTGGAATCAGTACAGATGATCCTGCCTTGAAAACAAACCATTCATTCTATGGTGAGAACCTTTTTTCCATCTCTCCTGAATATTATTCATTTTCTTTTTCCAATTGGTACTCCAGTCTCAGCTAGAGTAAACCTTTGCAGTAATAGAATGTAATGGGGTGAAGTATTGCATAATACTTTAATAGTTCAACAGTTCTATTCAATGAGGAAGCTGTCTTGTCCACCATAGAGCAGTTGTCACTATGGTCCATGCTGCTTGCCCAGTTTAGCAAGCCTTGTTGCCCACTTCTCATTTTGGATCTTTTTTTTTCTTTTCTCCTTCCTCTCTTACCGTCAGCAATCAATGGCTATGTGAGGGATACATTGCCAGGGCTTGTGATGGGTCAACATCAGAGAGTCAGGTGGTACCTGCTGAATGCAGGTGATGCTGAGGATATCCATTCTGTCCATTTCCACGGACAGGTCTTCACCATCAGAAAGGACCAGGAGTACCACGTGGGTGTCTACAACCTCTATTCTGGTAAGACAGAAAAGGAATTATTATTATTATTATTAACTTCATTTATATACCGCTTTTCTCAGCCCTTAGGCAACTCAAAGCGGTTGGCAACAGCAAAATTCAATGCAAACATTACAAAACAATTGGGGCAGTTAAAACAATAGCATAATAACAATTAAACATCAATATAACAAATCATTCGCGTCTCATCAGTAGAATCAGTATCCAATCTCATCATCCGTTATTCCGTATTCCTATATTCAATTATATTCAATTACACTGCCTAATCGAATGCCTGTTCGAACAGCCAGGTCTTCACTTTCCTCCAAAATGCCAAAAAGGAGGGGGCCAATCTAATATCTGTAGGAAGGGCGTTCCACAGCCAAGGGGCCACCACCGAGAAGGCCCTGTCTCTTGTCCCCGCCAGGCGTGCCTGTGATGCAGGCGAGACTGAGAGCAGGGCCTCCCCAGATGATCTTAATGTCCTAACTGGTTCATAGGAGGAGATGCGTTTGGACAGGTAAGTCGGGCCAGAACCATTTAGGGCTTTATAGGCTAAAGCCAGCACTTTGAATTGTGCCCAGTAGCAAACTGGCAGCCAGTGGAGCTGGCACAACAGAGGAGTTGTATGCTCCCTGAGTGCCACTCCTGTTAGCATCCTGGCTGCCAAGCGTTGGACCATTTGAAGCTTCCGAGCAGTCTCCAAAGGCAACTCCACGTAGAGAGCATTTCAGTAGTCTATATGGGATGTGGCCAGAGCGTGGACTACCGTGGCCAAGTCAGACTTCCCAAGGTACGGGCGCAGCTGGCGCACAAGTTTTAACTGTGTGAATGCTCCCCTGGTCACCGCTGGGCATACCTTGTCCATTGCCCCACTATATACGAATTTGGAATATGAAGGATCAATGAGAACAATCTGGGTATTGTAGCGAGCCCTGAAGTAAGCCTCACTAACATCCCACACAGTTCTCCTTTCCATTTCTTTATCTATGTTAACCTCAAAAAAAATTCTAGTTTTAGTTTTTGCATGAATGACTCATGTTGCAAAATGGACACACTTAACTCCCACCAGAAGCTCGGCCACTAACCTGTCAAAAAAGGCGGCAAAGAGGGCTCTAATACTTCATCCCTTGGAGTCCAGTGTTCAGAAGGAAACAGGCAACTCTATCTATGAACTCTATCTTCTCCCTTTTGCAGGAACTTTTGAAACAGTGGAAATGCAGCCATCCCATCCTGGGATTTGGAGAGTGGAGTGTGCCATCGGGGAGCATGAGCAGGCTGGAATGAGTGCCCTGTTCTTAGTGTATGACCAGCGTGAGTAACTGGACATGGCCCTCCTTTACGGATGGTTGCTTATTTTATGGCACAAGTTTGGTGCCTTCCTGTAGAAAGCAACTAGCTATGCTTCTTCTCATGGGCGATCATTAGTTGCTGAGTATGATTGTCTTGGTGGTGAATCTGTAAATGACTGTGAAGACCTATTCTGGATTTGCATGGTCTCCCACACTGAGAACATAGATTTCCACATGGAAGGTAGCCATGATAAGGATTTGCCTGAGATGCCTTCTTCCTCTTGGCATGTTTCTGTTGCACTCCAGGCCCAGAAACACCTATTACCACCGCACAAGAGTCCAGGAATATAAGCAAACTGTTTATTGTAGAAACATATAAAAAGCAGTCAAGAATAAGAAAGGAAGACATCTAACCCAAAAAGGATTAGCAACAGATGATGATGAAACAATAATCCAAAGGCTTCATAAAGCTCCAAAGGTGACAAAGTCCAGGTACAATCAGAAATCACAGATCCAGAATACATCCATAACTCGGAAGGCATAACTAATAAAACTTGAACAGGACTACATGAACAGGAACATAAAAAACTTCCAGGATATATAAAATCCAAAATCAAAACTTGACTTAACCAGGAACAAAAGAAACCAGGGTGAGCTTCTGACTTTAATGCAGTGTTGCCTGAACTGACCTTAAAGTAAATAACTTGTTATTTAATAGACGCCCATGAAATCATTCTGTTTCCCATGAATTTCCTTCACAATTTTCCCACGTAATCTCTCTGAATGACATTATCTATTTTTGGCTCTGATTTGGAAACAAAGACTTTTGTTGGTCTCCATAGCTGCAAGTGGGTTCCCATGGGAACCTTCCTTATCACTCAGCTCTTCACTCAATTTCTTATCTGATGTTACTACTTCTGCCTCCCCTGAATGCCCTGAGTTCCTGCACTTTCTTATCCGGTTTTCTCACAGAAAGAACCATCATTTCCTAGACTTGAGAGCCCATCTCTTTGTGGCACAGGAAAGCTCACAATCCATCAGTTAAACCATCAGCCACTGGCTGATCCACAATACTTTCTTCCTTTAGCACTGTATTTGTGTCTCTTCAAAATCCATAGCCCCGTGGTAGCAGCAGACCAGCTGACCTCCATGCTGCTTCTAAAGCATTGGTTCTTAGCCTGGGGTCCCCAGGTGTTTTGGCCTACAACTCCCAGAAATCCCAACCAGTTTACTAACTGTGAGGGTTGCTGGGAATTGATGGCCAAAACATCTGGAGACCCACAGTTTTGGAATCTAAAGGAAAGAGTTCAGGGAGAGTAAGAAACACTGTGATGCCTGTTGTGGTAGAAACACAGAAAACTGAGGATGGAATTGTCCCAGTTCAGGTTTAAAAGGAATATCTGGATCTAGTACAAAAACTCTGGTAATTATCAATAGATTGTCAAGGATTTCTATATCCTGGTGATTTGCCTCTTAACAGCAACAAAACAAAATATCCACTCTAAAAATTATACAGATGGCATGAAGAAATGTGAGCGTAATTAAGAGTGGGTTTGTGTATAAAGGCTTCGTGAGCTGGATGCTTCCTTGGTACTTAGCATACGTTTCTTTACCTTAGAGGATATGCAAAAGCAAGGTGCTGATTTTCTCTTGGGAGATGTAGAATAGGTCATTTTGAAAACAAATTCTGAAACCAGTGAAATTATTTTGGTGGAGTTCAGAATGCTCTTTGATTGTAGGTGTTGGTGAACTATAAATCACAGCAACTACAACTCCCAAATGACAAAATCAATCCCCCCCCCCCCCCAACCCTACCAATATTCAAATCTGCATGTATGGGATATTTGTGCCAAATTTGGTTCAGTGAATGAAAATACATCCTGCATATCAGATATTTACATTACGATTCATAATAGTAGCAAAATTATAGTTATGGAGTAGCAACAAAAATAATGCTATGGTTGGAGATCACCACAACATAAGGAACTGTATTAAGGGGTCATAGCATTAGGATGGTTGAGAAACACTGGCTTATAGTTTCTCATAATATTTACTTTTAGGGTGTCAAACGCCTTTGGGCCTGGCTTCTGGGTACATCGCCGACTCTCAGATTACAGCTTCAAGTCACCATGGTAAGAACTCGAATGTGGTTGATTCACTCTACATAATTATCACAAATTACAAACATCTTGCACCAGGCCTGTAGCCAGGATTTCGTTTCAGGGGTGTGTGTGTGTGTGTGTGTGTGTGAATTTTTTTCAGGGGGGGTTTTGGGGGGGGCTGAGTTTCGGGGGGGGGGCTGAGTCTGAGTGAAAGAGGGTCTAGCCTAGCAAACCTTTTGTATCATTACCCCAATACCCCCATGCATATGGGATATATTGAGTATGGTGATCATATCATGATATGAATAAACATAACAGTTTAAATAATGCACCAGTAAGGCCTTTTCGCGAACCACCATGAGAATTTCGGAGGGGGGGGGCTGAAGCCCCTCGAGCCCCCCCCCCCCCCCCCCCCGGCTACATGCCTGTCTTGCACCCTCTTTATACATGAAGATTCTTTAAAGGCATGCCCATGATTCCATAGCACTGAGCTACAGCAATTAAAGTAATGTCAAACTGCATTAATTTTACAGTGTAGACGTACTCCTATAAACTAATAAAGTTGCACTCTGAATGAATTGCATTTGAGTGCCCACTGTGGTTTCCATGCCACCATGAAGCAGCAGAATAGTATATTGTGGACTACCATATACAGCAGAATAGTACATTGTGGACGACCAATGTTTTAATGTCCTTCTCCCCCCCCCCTTTTTTTTTTTTTTTGCAAAGGTGAATGGGTTCCAAGTTTATCCAGGCTACACAAATCGGGGTCAATCAATGCCTGGAGTACGGACCAGGAGAAAGCTTGGATTCAGGTAGGTTCTCCAGTTCTTAAACTAAGGAGTTTGGTTAGATAAGGAAAGGATTCAGAACCAACAAGTCATTTCTCTTGTTGTATCAATATGTGAGAGGAAGCCACAGGGAGGAGGGAGCAACCTTGTTTTCTGCTGCTCTGGAGACTAGGACACGGAGCAATGTCTTCAAACTATAGGAAGATTCCACCTGAACATGAGGAGGAACGTCCTAACTATGAGAACTGTTCAGCAGTGGAACTCTCCGCCCTGGACTGTGGTGGAGGCTGCTTCTTTGGAGACTTTCAAACAGAGGCTGGATGGTCATCTGTCGGGGGTGCTTTGAATTCCATTTTCCTGCTTCTTGGCAGGAGGTTGGTATAGATGGCCCACGAGGTCTCTTCCAACTTTAGGGTTCTATCATTCTGTAAGCAATTAAAATAGCAAGCCCAGTTCCTTCTTACATCCCCTCTACACTGCCATATGATCCAGATCAGGAAAGCCCCTTCACTAGAAACATTCAAAAAGAACCTTAAAACCTGGCTCTTCCACTGCGTCTTTGGCGAGTAGGTGTACAACATGATACTATTGCTGCCCTCAACGATTTTGCCACTGGAGTACACGCCCTCCAAATGGGAAGTTTAGTTTCACAACTCTGTTTGTTTTCATGAGCTGCCTTCAAATAACCTGCTCCTGTTTTTATCTCATTAGAGTCTTTTAATTGTTTTATCCTGTACATGTGGCCCGCCCACTATTATCGTGACTGTGTTTATTGGAATGTTCTTTTTCTATGTAATTTTGATGATGTTGTCTGTTGTTTATGTTCTTGGTTTTGTTCTGCTGTAATATGTTGTCTGGGCTTGGCCCCATGTAAGCCTCTCTGAGTCCCCATTGGGGAGATGGTGGTGGAGTATAAATAAAGACTATTATTATTATTATTATTATTATTATTATTATTATTATTATTATATCAGATAATACACATTATGATATGTGTCTACACTGCCATATAATCCGGTTCAAAGCAGATATTCTGGATATTATATGGCAGAGTAGAAGGGGCCTGAGTAAAACAGGCTAGTGTTTTACCTTCGTAAATATCATCATCTCTGATGATGTGCATTTAAAACACTCCCGAAAAAAGTGCATTTTCCCTTCTTGCCCAGGTGGATCTGCTACATCCAAAGATCATCCATGGAATACAGACACAAGGAGCGCGTCAAAAGTTCTCTAAGCTCTACATTTCCCAATTTGGCATCTTCTACAGCCTGGATGGCGAGAGGTGGAAGGTTTATAAAGGCAATGCCACCAGCTCTGAGAAGGTGAGTGCTTGGGCTTCTGGTTGCACTTCTCTAACTAAAGGGAAGGATGGAAAAGGGGACACCACAAAAAGGAAAATGTACAAATTCAAGAAATTGAGTCCTTTGCATTTTCAAAATCATGTTAAAGTCCCCCCCCCCCATCCCCACCAAACTTGCTGTAGAACAAGCAAAATGAAGGAGGAAAGGCTATTTAAAGGGGCACAAACCAAGGTTGTGGGTGAACTACAACTCACACAATGCCAGGTTAAAATCGAGAAACTATCAGCACTTTGTTATGTTGGGTAAGTTTGCTCTGATGCATCATCGGTGGGGTTCAGTATGCTCTCTGGCTGTAGGGTAAACTACAACTCCCACTATGGTGAGTCAGTCCCCTCAAACCTCTCCAGTAGGTTGAGTTAGTCATGGGGTTCTGTGTGCCAAGTTTGTCCAGGTCCATCTTTGGTGGAGTTCAGAGTGCTCATTGATTGCAAGTGAACTATAAATCCCTGTACCTACAACTCCAAAGTGTTCAGGCCAATTTCTCTTTAAAAAAAACCCCCAGTATTCAAATTTGGGCACATTGGGTATGCATGCCAAGTTTGGTTCAGATCCATCATTGTTTGGGTTCATAGTGCGCTCTCAATGTAGGTGAACTACAACTCCTATAAATCCCCCCAAAGACTGCCAGTATTTTTGTTGGTCATGGGGATTCTGTGTGCCAAGTTAGTTCCAGGTCCATCATTGATGGAGTTCAGAGTGCTCTTAGATTGCAGGTGAACTATACATCCCAGGACCTACAACTCCTATAAATCTCTCAAAAGACCTCCAGTAATTTTGGTGGTCATGGGGGTTCTGTGTGCCTAGTTAGTTCCAGGTCCATTGTTGGTTTAGTTCAGAGTGCTCTTACATTACAAGTGAACTATACATCCCAGTACCTACAACTCCTATAAATCATGATGAATTCTCCCCAAACCTCTCTAGTATGTTCAGTTGCCGATCAATTCCTCTGTTTGCTGTGTGACATATAAAAGAATAGGAAAGGTTAAGGGAGAGGAAGTGGGTGGGYTCATGCAAATTCCAAACCAATGGAGAGAGTKAGAAACACTGGGATGTCTGTGGTGGAGGAAACACATAACATCTAGGATGGAATTGTCCRCGTATGAAAGCCTTCACTTTGGTGGTGGGKAGTATGGTGTTTGTGGATGACATTGGCAGGGCTCTTGGACATGTTCATGACGCTCACTATAACCTGCAATGTCGTTGGAGGGAGGGCATTGGTGTCTCCTGAGTGGTGAGAGCAATAGCTGTTTGTGGAGGCAAGAGCTTGTCTGTGTAACTGGACACCCCAGCCACACATACACATACATATTTTCACTTTTATTATGTAGATAGATAGATAAATAACACACAGGTATGCATACATACAAATGCTTTTGTACGTTTTTAATCTGCACTCATTTTAATGCTTTGAGTCCCATTGAATGTAGAAGTAGATCTCAAAGCTGAAAGGAGTGCAGAGGGGCAAAGTAGAAGTTGGGAGTCAAGTCTGAACCACAAAATGTGAATCCCTTGCACGTTCTGCTTTCCTTGTGACCGCAACTTCCAAAGCTATTTCTTTATTCTCGCCTGCAGCTATTCTTTGGAAACGTGGGTGCGACTGGTGTGAAAAACAATGTCTTTGACCCCCCGATTGTCGCCCGCTATATCCGCCTTCGCCCGAACTACTTCAACATCCGCAACACATTACGCATGGAGCTCATCGGTTGTGACCTGAACAGTATGTCAATGGCAGACTGCATCTATTTCAGACACAAAGCTGCATAGTTAGAGCATTAGCAGGGACCTTCAAATAACACACACATGAAAGTTGCAAATTCACAAAACCATGTGGGTTCCAAGCTTCTGTATTTCATGGGTTGTAGTATAAGACTATGGGATGGAAGTCCTATTTGGAATGGCAGAAACCATCACATTTTACTGCCTGCCTCGTCCCTTTGGTTGCTTGGGACTTCATCACATTGAAGCAGGGAAGTGCTTGGTAGAGTAGAGCTCAGTCATACTCAGTTTTGAAATGAAACGGATAATTTCCCTACCTTCATCACACTGATAAAATGTATCCGTGTTACTCAGTTGTACTCAGCATTCTTTCAGTAGATTTGCCATCACACTGGAATCGCTAGGCACTGGCCACTATCCCTTCCCCATGCTCTTTGTGTGTGTGTGTGTGTGGGGGAGACCTTCCTCTCTTTGAAATGTTACCTGTTACGTGCCTTCAATTCCAGAAGCAAGGAAGCAGGGAGGGAGAAGGAAGGGAAAGTGGCAATGCATCCTCTCTCCTCTCTCTCTCTCTCTCTCGCTCTCTCTCTTGGCTGCCCCACAGAGAAGGGTGTGGACCTTGGAAAACTATTACTCCCAGGACTGCAATAGTATGAAGCTATGGTATTTAAAGTAAGATCCAGCCGCATTCATTTCACAGTGTAGATGCACCCAGAGAAAGTTCAAGGACCTTGGGAAACTGCAATTCCCAAGACCATCTCATGGAGACAGGGCATTTAAAATAAGGTCCAACTGCATTCTTTCCACAGTGTAGCTGTACCCAAAGAATGGTATGGACCTTGGGAAACTATAATTCCCAGAAGGACTCCATTGCATAGAGCCATGGCATTTCAAGTGGGGTGTAAGAATATTCAGTCCATACTGTTAATACACCAAGAGAGTATGGACCTTAGGACTGCGCAACATGGAGACATGGCATAATAATAATAATAATAATAATAATAATAATAATAATAATAGCCGATACATCACACAATCCTAGACATTTGGGAAGTGTCCGACGTGTGATCCAATACAACGGCCAGCAGAGTGACCTTGTCAAGAGTGATGTTGACATGGACAAACTTTTCCCCTCTGGGTGATTTGGACTTCAACTCCCACAATTCCTAACAGTCTACTGGCTGTTAGGAATTGTGGGAGTTGAAGTCCAAAACACCCGGAGAGCTGAAGTTTGCCCATATCTGATATAAAGTCATATCTTTCTATTTCTCTCCTAGGTTGCTCCATGCCGCTGGGAATGGAAAACAAAGCCATCTATGATGAACAGATCTCTGCCTCTTCCTACATTGACAATGTCTTCGCCACTTGGTCCCCCTTTCAAGCCAGGCTTAACTTGGATGGTAGAACCAATGCTTGGAGACCAAAGGTAAATGTGATTGGAGGCAAGAGACTGGGATAGGCAGCTTTTTATATATATACCAGCTCCCTGGGTCAGTTTATTTTATCCCAGTATGAAACCGGAAAGAACAGGAACAAAATCTGGGACCTTTGATTGGTCTGGATGCACCACCCATATCTAGTCCAACTTTTTGTTCCCACAGTGATTGTGGGTGCCCAGAAAAAGAATATGAGGCACCCTGTTGATTATGTTCCTTAGAAGCTGATAGGCCTCCAGAACTGGAAATGGCTAATTATCATGACCAGTAGCCACTGACATTCTTTGAGCTTCCATCACTATGGCTAATCCCATTTAAAATCTGTCCAAGTTGGTGAATCATAGGATCCTTCAGAGCAGCTAGCCTTCAACTACAGGAGTAAAGCACATGTTCAGCTTTCTAGTGCAGTCTAGGGATTCGCCTACCTTCGTGACCACATCTCTTGCTGCCAACCTTCACAACCTCTCCGATCCTCCGGGGAGGCTCTCCTCTCGCCTCTCCCACTGTCACAGGCAAGATTAGTGGGAACAAGGGAGAGAGCCTTCTCCACTGTGGCTCCCTGTCTTTGGAACTCACTACCTGGTGAGATTAGGCAAGCCCCCTCCTTAGCAGACTTCAAGAAAAATCTGAAATCCTGGCTTTTTTGATGTGCCTTTGAAGAGTGACCTTTTGCACCAGTTGTGTTGCCCCTTCTATAGTGTTCCCTCTATGATGCACTTTCCCCCATTTTAAACTGAAAGCCTGTTCCCACTGTTTCGCCCCCCCTCCTTTGCATATTTCCTACTCCTACCTCACCCAGGGTTTTAGCATTTTATCCTTTCCATTTGGCCTGCCCACTCTATTCAATTTTATATTGTGTGAATTTGTTTTATTATTTCATTTTGTTATTGTTATTTTTTTTCTTTTTCTGGATGTATGTTTGCTATTGTTGGGACTCAGCCTGTGTGTGAACCTGAGCCTGAATCTCTGATTGTATTGCCTAATGCTGATGCCAGTGTTGATGCTAATGTTGGGCCTAGTTTGGATAGTGAGGCTGAAGTGATCAATGAGGATGAGGCTCAAGATGGAGAAACTTTGTGCAGTAAAAATCCTACAGGCTTTGATTTAGAGGCTTCAAGGGAAAAGCCAAGTTTTCATGAGAAAGTTTCTGCCAGACCGAGAGAAGAAAATCCACTCCTTTCTTCTTCTGGCCTGAGCTTGCCAGATAACTTGACACCTGGTCAGGTCAATGATAACAGCTGCAGTTTGGAGATAAGCCAGAACCACAGGGAGGCTCAATGTTTACGAAGGTCCAAGAGAATCTGACAACTGAAACTAAAGATTAGAGTTAGCCGGAATCAGTTTTTGGGATTTAAGAGTGGCCATGAGGGAGATTTCCTCAGACCAAGCATCGTTTAATATCAAGTACAAACCTCCTGGGTTTTCCAGTTTCCAGTGGTCTGGTCTCTAAGGGAATTTCTGGCTTCAAGTGAGATTTAGCAGGGGCTAATCTGTTCATGTATTTTTATTGAGAGATTTCTGGACATTACTGCTTTGGATTTTCTGCAAGCTTTCTGGACATTGCTGTTTCATTTTGGCTTTTTACCTTTGGACTTCTATCTATTTTATATCCATCATTCAATAAAAAGGATTGTATTTGTCTTAAACCAAGGTGTGGTGTATTAATGACAAGAGGGCCCAATTTCCTGCTCTGGAGTGCAACAGCTATTTTGTATCTTTTTGTGTTGTATTGTATTTTTAGAAGGGCTTGGCCTCATGTTAGCCGCCCTGGGTCCCCATTGGGGAGATGGTGGCGGGGTATAAATAAAGATTATTATTATTATTATTATTATTATTATTATTATTATTATTATTATTAATAATAATAATAATAATAATAATCTAAGACAAGGGTTAGACAAGGCAAAGTTGGCTTCTTGCTTCCGCAACTTTTGTGGGAACCCAACTGCCGCTTGAGTTCAGCTGCTGGCTTAAAGACCCTTAGCTTTCAAAAATCAGGAAACAAACACTCACTCAACTGCTGGCTTCAAAGAACAGGGAACAATAACTCACTTAACTACTGGCTTAATCTAGGAAACAAACTCTCACTCAACTGCTGGCTGAAGTACCTAGCCTCACCTTCAAAACAAGCACATAGCTTTCTGGTGTCCCCAGCAGAGCAGCTAGTCTTTAACTATAAACAATATAGTTTAACTAGTTAAGGAAATACTCCCCCCCCCCCCATATCCCAAATCATGCAACATAGAGCTTTATCTGCAATGCTGGAAGAAAGCCTTTCATTAAAGCTTTGAAGGAGGATAGTTGTGGTTTTATTTCCTCTTTGAGATCCTTATTTTTTATTGCTCCAAAACAGAAGAGTTCAATTGAGCCCAAGCCTGCTTACACTGAAGGCATCTCTGTCTCTTCCACAGGTGGATGGCATGTCCGAATGGCTCCAGGTGAACTTTCTGAAGACCATGCGGTTGACAGGGCTGGTGACCCAAGGTGCAAAAGCTGTCTTCACCAAAATGTTTGTGCAGGAATTTTCTCTCTCAAGCAGCCAGGATGGCACACGTTGGAGTCCTGTTTTGCAAGATGGAAAAGAGAAGGTAGTGATTTAGCAGACTGTGGTGGCATTGATGAACAGGGGTTACCTTTTGAGATACCAAATAGAACTCCAAAGTAATGCTTTCTTACAGTAGTTCCTTTACTGTGTGAACCTTTTTGTTGGGAATCAGCCTGTGTTTGTGTTTCAGGATCCTGATATGGGAAATGATGAGGGAAGTGATGGTGCCGAGGCTGAGGTACAAGATGGAGATGGTTTGGTCAATGATTTTCAGGCAGACAATGGCAAAGAGGCCTCAGTGCAAAGGGCAGTTTCTCATGAGAATATCCCTGGACCTAGCAATGATAATTCAATCCCTCTCTCTGCGAGCTCTCAAGATTTGGGTTTGGAAAACAATCTGACACCTGGGAATTTTAATGAGCAGCCAGATAGGGAGCTGAAGAATAGGCAGCTGGAGATTAGCTAGGATCAGCAACAATCTCAGTATTTATGTTGCTCTGAAAGGCTGCGTCTGATAAAGGGAAAATGTGGAGGGAAACGAAACCAATTTCTGAGTTTTGGGATATAAAGTTTGCTTCAAGGGAAAACCTGTCAAATCAGGCATCGTTTGGAAACGAAGTTGTTGTACCATGGAAGTTTTGTTCAAGGGATCTTGTTTCTTTGGAGTTTTTTTTTTAGCCTTTTGGATTGTCTTCGCATTCTACTTGAGTCCTGTCTGGATTAATGCTGTCTTGGATTGCCTGTATTTCTTGTGGACATTGCTTTGGGTTACTACTGTTCATGGACTAATACTATTTGGAACCTTCTGATTTTTTTACAAGCATTTATTTCTTCTGGCTATTTACCAAGCTTCAATAAAAGAAGATTTGATTCTTCACTCTTTGTGTGTTTTAAGTCAGAGAGCTTCTTCTGGATCTGGAGTGCAACACTTTTTTAGTTCACTTTAATGGTGGTAGTGGTTCCAGCCCCCTCCCCTAAGTACCATTACTTCCAATCCCTTCTTCAGTGTGTTTTGTGCCAAATGATAAGCAGCTCATAGCCTTCTGTTGGTGTTTTTTAGGTTGACTGAATCTGAATAATTTCAGAAGAGCAGTGTTTAGTAATTACAACCAGCTTTTCAATAGGGTTGCTGTGACTTTTCTAGGCTGTATGGCCATGTTCCAGAAGCAGTCTCTCCTGACGTTTTGCCCACATATATGGCAGGCATCTGCAAAGGTTGTGAGGTCTGTTGGAAACTAAGCAAGTGGGGTTTCTATATCCTGAAAATATCTAGACCAACTTTTTCTTCACACAGTTTTCAACCATGTGATTATGGGTGTCCAGAAAAAGAATATAAGGCACCCTGTTGATTATGTTTCTGAAGATATATATACCCCAGTTGCCTAGTTTCCAACATACCTTACAACTTCTGCAAAAGATGCAGGCAAAACATCAGGAGAGAATGCTTCTGGAACATGGCCATACTGCCCGGAAAACTCATAACAGCCCAGTGTTCCTGACCTTTGACAACACAGGTTTTCAATAGCTTGGAACAATAACTGCAATGAATTGACTTTTGTGAAGTAACTTTCCAATTTAATTCTTTCCCTAGAAGTCTTAATGACCTCAAAAAATATCAATTATTATTCTTTATCTTTCAGATTTTCCAGGGAAATCAAGATCATCTCAGCCCTGTGGTAAATTTCCTGGATTCCCCTATTTTTGCGCAGTATTTGAGGATACATCCACGCCGCTGGAACAAGCACATTGCGCTACGGATAGAGATTTTGGGCTGCGACACCCAGCAAATGGTCTAGTAGAGATCAATCTATATTTTATCTCCATGAAGATCTTTCAGACACCTGAGACACATTCCAGGGGGATCCAGTACCAGAACAGCTGAAATTGTTAATGCTGACAACAAAAGAACATCACCTGCCTATTGTTCGGTAACAGCAATTTTGTAATGTAAGAGTATTAAAGTAACTAGAAATGATTTTTAAAATAGACACATTCTTTACCATTTCTTTTTTAAAGGAAAATGTCTCCCTCTTGTGGTCTCATGGCTGAATACCAATATCAAAGTTGAACTGTGATTTTTAGACTTGTACGTGGATCTGTTTTCCTTTGGTATCTTTGAGAGCACATAACAGGAAGGGCCCTCCCAGTACGAAAACCTGCCCGACACGAAAGTGAACCAGAGCCGATCCTAGCTCCTCCTCTGCTTTCTGGGAGCACGCGGCATGTGGAGAACTGCTGTGTGTTCTTTGCTACACCAATGAATGATCTCTGCATATTAACAGATGGGATAAATGAACACAGAAGCAGGAGAGACAGGAGAACGAACAGGACAGGGTTCCTGCGCCTTTAATAGTTGTGTAGAAGATGATGCAGGATTGCCGTGGTGCAGCGGGTTAAACCACTGAGCTGTGGAACTTGCTGACTGAAAGTTTTGTGGTTTGAATCCATGGAGTGGGGTGAGCTCCTGCCATTAGTCCCAGCTTCTGCCAATCTAGCAGTTCGAAAACATGCACATGTGAGTAGATCAATAGGTACCGCTGAATCCAACCAGAGGACGGTCCATTTCTTTGGATTGCAATTCCCAGAATCCCCCTTTATGCCACAAGTATACTTTCTGGTGCTGGGTTAATAATAATATAATAAATAATAAAACTTTATTTATACCCCACTCCATTTCCCCCAAGGGGACTCGGTGCAGCTTACATGAGGCCACGCCCATCAGTACATTACACAAACAATATAACACGAGAACATAAAAAAAACCAAAAAATTAAATACATAAATGCAAAGCAATATAATAGCAACACAATATAAAATCAGACATTAAAACACAAAAGGTTTCACTGGGCAGGGCCAAGTTCAGGATAAAATTATAAAAATTTTAAACGCTGGGAGATAGGACAATGTCAAACATTGGGACGGGGATTTAATTGCATGAACCATAAATAAAGTGCTACTGAGGTCATTTAGTGCTAAGTTTTTGGTCAGGGAGTACCTTACGTTCAATCATTGAAGGCACGTTGGAATAACAAAGTTTAAAGCGCTGAGCTGCTGAACTTGCTGACCAAAAGGTTGTAGGTTCGAATCCAGAGAGTGGCGTGAGCTCCCAATGTTAGCTCCAGTTCCTGCCAACCTAGCAGTTCAAAAACATGGAAATGTGAGTAGATGAATAGGTACCACTCAGGCAGGTAGGTAACGGTGCTCCATACAGTCATGTTGGCCATTATCTTGGAGGTGTCTATGGACAGCGCTGGCTCTTCAGCTTAGAAATGGAGATGAACACCACCTCCAGAATCGGACACGACTAGATTGAATGCCAAGGGGAAACCTTTACCTTTACTTTAGAAGATGATGCACAATTATTGACGGCAACAATTACCTTAAACCCCATTGGTTTCAACAGTTTCTGCTCCAGACATGACTAAGCCTGACTCTGACTCCTCAATCGGTAGGCACCAGAGAGAAGAGGTCATTTGGACATCATGTTCCCCAGCCCCAAAGGACAATTACAAAACTAGAGAGTTGAAGAAAGATGACATACCCAGAGACTCATATTTGTTCTATATCTGGGTGGGTGGATACAGTGAGGAGATGAGATGAAAACCAGATGCTGGGTGCAGCTGTGAAAAGCAAACACCGATCAAGCCAGGAGTGAAAGGAGAGGAGGAGGAGGAGATAAAAAAGAATGCCACATGCTTCCTATTTCCACACGATTGTTTAAGGTGTTCCCTCAAAGTTGAAGTTATGGGCTAGGCTATGTATATTCCTGGGTGGTGGGGAATGTCAAATAAACACAAAGGAAAATAATTACCCAAGAACCGAAGAATTCTGCACCTAGCTAACCCAAATCACACACATCATGGGCACAGGAATGCATTTAGTTGTGCTAGTAAATTGAGTACGCATCATCTGTAAGTCATTGGAAAAAGAAAATTAAAAAAGAGAGAGCGATGTGTTATACTGTTGTTCTTCTTCAGATGATAGTATTTGGGCTTTCAAGGAGGTAAACACAACCTCTTTCCTTCCTGGGGCTTTGGGTGTACATTTCTGAAAACTCTGCAGTACATAGAAAAACACTGGCAAAATGCTCCAGAACATTCAGAGTTGGGATTGTGGAGTAAATGCATTTCAAGGGAAGTCTTACATTCAAAGTCAGAAGAATGGTGATAAGAATCATAGAATCCTAGAGTTGGAAGAGCCCTCATGGGCCATCGAGTCCAACTCCTTTGAGAAGCAAGAAAATCACATTCAAAGCAACTCTGACAGATGGTCATCCAGTCTGTGTTTAAAAGCCTCCAAAGAAGGAGCCTCCACCACACTCCAGGCCAGAGAGTTCCACTGTTGAACAGCTCTCCTTAAAGTTAGGAAGTTCTTCCTAATGTTCAGGTGGAATCTCCTTTCCTGTAGTTTGAAGCCATTGTTCTGCAGCCTAGTCTCCAGCAGCAAAAAACAAACCTGCTCCCTCCTCGCTAAGACGTCGCCTCACATATTGGAAAGACTATTCAAATACATTATTAGAGAAATAGTTGAAAAACTCCTCCACCCAAAATAGTAATGTATTGTCGAAGGCTTTCATGGCTGGAATCACTGGGTTGTTGTAGGTTTTTTCGGGCTATATGGCCATGGTCTAGAGGCATTCTCTCACCTCACTACCTCTGAGGATGCTTGCCATAGATGCAGGTGAAACGTCAGGAGAGAATGCCTCTAGACCATGGCCATATAGCCCGAAAAAACCTACAACAACCCACAATAGTAATGTATTACTTTCAATGCTGGTTTCACTAATGCTCAGAGATATATCAATGATGGTAGATTTCATGCTAGCACAAGACAGTGAATGGGCTGTGGATTTTAGTCAGAACTTGGAAGGTGCTATCAAAGGTGCTGGATGCTTCGTGAGATTAGTTGCATGCACACTGGATAGCTCCTTTACAGCTGCTCTGCGAGTGCAGCATTTCTCCAAATGAAGCAGAGAGTGTTTGCGGACTTGGACATCTGCAGGAATACCAAGGTACTTGTTTATAAAGCTATTGTCCTTCCAACCCTGGTATACGCTTGCGAGACATGGACTGTCTATAGACGTCGCATGCAACTCCTAGAATGATTCCATCAGCGTTGCCTCTGAAAAATCCTACAAATCTCTTGGGAAGACAAGTGGACAAATGTCAGTGTGCTGGAAGAAGCAAAGACCACCAGCATTGAAGTGATGGTCCTCCGCCATCAACTCTGCTGGACCAGTCACATTGTCCGGATGCCCGACCACCATCTTCCAAAGTAGTTGCTCTACTCCGAAGTCAAGAATGGAAAACTGAATGTTGGCAGGCAGGAAAAGCGATTTAAAGATGGGCTAAAAGCCAACCTTAAGAGCTCTGATATAAACACTGAGAACTGGGAAGCCCTGGCCCTTGAGCGCTCCAGATGGAGGTCAGCTGTGCCCAGAAGTGCTGTAGGATTTGAAGAGGTACAAATGGAGGGCGAAAGAGAGAAACGTGCCAAGAGGAAGGTGCATCAAGCCAACCCCAACCGGTACCACCTTCCACCTGGAAACCAATGCCCTCACTGCGGGAGAACATGCTGGTCAAGAATAGGGCTCCACAGTCACCTACGGACCCACCACCAAGACACCCATCTTGGAAGACAATCCTACTCAGACAATGAGGGGTCACCTAAGTAAATAAGTAAGTACAGCAGTAGTTCCCAACCTGTGATCCATGGACCACCAATGCTTTGCAAGAATGAAAATATGGTCTGTGGCCTCACCATTACTACACACACGGCAACGAGAGTGACTGGCTGTGCAAAACTCTCCAATAGTGCCAAGGCAACGGGGATGTTGGGAAAAGAGAGGCTGACTACCCACGAAAGATTACTACTACATCAGCTCTAGAGTATTAAATATGGTTTTCTGTGGGAAAGCAGATTGTATAACAAAAATTATGGAACACCTGGAAAGGTGGGATGGTGGAAAGATCAGGTTTGTCTCTACCGAATCGAGACATCTGGGGTGTGTTATTCACCTAATCCTGACCTAAGGATACGGCAGTGCAAAATCCTTTCTAAGCTGGATGGATAGAAGGTTTCGAGTTTTGCTTGTTCAGATGCTAGAGCGCATTTAAGAGGGAGAGGCTTCAATCTGAAACAGAGAGAAAAATCGCATGCAGAAGAAGAAAAAGAATCCAGACATTCTTCGGCCCTTCCCCTCCTCCCCATTATCGTTTTGGTATTTATTCTGATCCTGGATTAACATGGAATTTCTGGAAGGAATCTGGCATTTCACCTTTGCACAAATTGGAGGCGTGGAGATGACAATCGTGTGACCTGTAAATGTCGGAGGCCTGATTTAATGCACGTTTGCACCTTTCGCTATTCAATCACCTCCTCCCGGCTATAATTGGGTTTGGCAGGGACAAAAGGCAGTCCGTCGGGGTTGCTCGGGATGGAGCGAAAGCAGATGTGACCAACACAGCTGGAGAGACTATCCTTCTATCAGCTCTGCACAATACGGCACAGCTTCCATCTCGGCCTTTGGCTAATAGTCATGGAAGATCACACAAAGGGAAGCTGTGTAGATGGTTTAATTAGAAATAGCAAAGATCTTGAAAATGGAAATTAAGTAAAACACGGAAAAATATTGGATATTTTTTGTCAGCTCAAAGGGAACAGTTAAAGCTTGTGCGCCAGCTGCGCCCGTACCTTGGGAAGTCTGATCTGGTCACAGTGATCCACACTCTGGTTACATCCTGAATAGATTACTGCAATGCACTCTACATGGGGCTGCCTTTGAAGACTGTTCGGAAACTCCATCTAGTCCAACGGGTAGTAGCCAGATTACTCACTGGAGCACCATACAGGGAGCACACCACCCCACTGTTATGTCAGTTCCACTGGCTGCCAGTCCACTTCCGAGCACAATTCAAAGTGCTGGTCTTGGCCTATAAAGCCTGTGCTGTCGCACGCTGGGCCTGTGCATAAGACTGTAGACAGGACA